GTTATTACAATTAATTGATCATGTTATGGGCTCATTTATGAGTCTAAGTCCATTAAGGTTAGTATAAATAATAATGATTAATGATGAGAAATGTATATTTTCATAATTATCATAATTGATTAGCATTGATCTCTCAAAATCTGTGGATTGACTTGAGCGTTAGAGTACATTTTGTAGGTACTCCTCTATCCAAGGACGGATACACATGTATCCTAGTGGGGCACTTGCCCCCACTAACATTTTTCTATATTTTATTAATTTATATATATATATATATATATATATATATAAAGATTTAAATGTGTTTTTATTCTCTTAATTGTAAAATTATTGTTTTTAATTTCTATAATTTTTTAAAAATTTTGTTTTAGTCTCTCAAGTCATCAATAACATATATAAAAATGACATATCAAGATAGTAATGTAGTTTCAATTGGATTTGATATGATGTTTTTACGGATAAAGATATCAATAGATAGATTTTAGACAGCAATATTTGATAGATTCCCTGACAAAATTTGAGTATAAAAATTGAAACAAGATTTTCTAAAATTTACAAGGATTAAAAAGACCAATTTTTAATTTGAGGGACTAAAGACAAATTTACCTTAAATTTGAGATATTAAAAACATATTTAAGTCTATTATAAATTTATAATAATGTACTCACACTTGTCATGTTAAAAACTAAGTGCTCTCACTCTTTTCTATATTTTTATTTTGTTAAAAAAGTCAAAGTTAATATATTAAGTTTTTGAAAAAAATAAATCTTAAAATAAGTGTCATGTTAGTTTTTCAATATAATATTAATTATCTTTTATTTTTCATTTATACCCTTCATAATATTTTTTAGAAAGTGAATATTGTATTGTATTATTTATAATAAAGAAGATTAATTATAAGTTTTTTATTTCTAGTTTGTATGAAACAACCTAAAACGATACTTATTATAAAATAAAGGGAGTACTAGTTATAGTTAAATAAAGCCAGTAAAGGGATTAAGGAGTGATAATTGATCTAAATTTATATTATACTATTTTTAAAATGAAAAAAGGTTAAAATTTTGATACAAGATATAGAAAGAGATATTTTTTAAAGTGTTAAAAATGAGAAAATTATTCAATATTTTTAAAATATAAAATCTCATAGAAAATAATTTAATATATATTTATATTTAAAAAAAATGTAAAATTATATATTTAATACTATAAATTTATATATTAATATTGCCCCCACTATTTAAAATTTCTGGATTCGTCACTGCCTCTATCCCATTTAGACAGGTATAACAGAAAATCACGAAGTGTATGGCAAATGACAAATAGGCAATACTAGTAAGAGCACATAAAAGAAGAAAAACTAGAGTGACAAAATTACCAAAATATCCTCGTGTATGTACACTATGGTATAAACAATTTTATGTATCTAATATAGGTAGAGCTGTCAAAATGGGCTCAGCCCGGTGAGCCAACCCGGCCCACCACGGGTTCGAGCCGGGTTGGGCTAAATTTTTTTTGCAAATTTCAGTGTGGGCCAATTTTAAACCCGGCCCACTAACAACCCGGCTCACCCGGGTTCAACCCGTGGTGAGCCGGGCTGACCCACCAGCCCATAAAAAAAAAAAAAAAATTTCTGCTATTGGGTTGGGCCAAATAAAACTTCATAGACCATCATAGGTTCTCAATTTTATGTATTTTTTCTTCAAATTATGTAATTAGTGTAGGAATTTATTTACTTTTCTCTAGAAAAGCTTATGTGCATACTATTTTTGCAGGATTAGGCATTAAATTTGATTACATTTTTTTAAATTAGGTGATTTTTTCAAATTAGGTGAGCCAACCCGTTTAGCCCACCAACCCGTGGTGGGCCGGGCCGGGCTCAATTTTTTCCAGCTCACCAATAAACGAGCCGGGTTGGGTTGGCCCACCAAAGGCTCAACCCGTGGTGGGCCGGG